TAATGGCATAGTCTGTATAATGTGTAGGATACTATTACCGAGTCTATTGTAGTGTAGTAGGTAATTGATTATCTATAAGAAACGTAATTAGAATGTTCCGTGACTATGTCTGTGATATAATCACGAAACAAAAATTCTAGTTTACTTTAGCTACTAATTTACGAAGATCATTTTTACGCTTTTTCTTCCTCTCTTTATCTTGTAGTACATTTAGTTTTTATAATTTGCATATCAGACTTTACTTCATATTCAAATTTATTACAGAGCACTGTTCTTGTTGACATTGTTTTCAACTGGGTTTTCAAAGTATAATGTTCGTTGATTGCTTAAGAAGTCTATCGAAATTATTGAATTGCGTACATTCTTTATGTGTATATATGTTCATGTTTTTAAATTTGTCTATAAGTATATATTATCTAAGTAACCAATCTTATACCTCCAAACAATGTTTTGAATTAAATTTGTTGTCTCATTTTTTATTTCGTTGGAACGTTATGACTGAGTCCAAGAATTAAAGTTGGAATTACAATTTTTTGGACAAATAACTATTGATTTGGTTGTCTCTCGAGACATAGCTACTACCTATCTAAAATGATGGATGGTTGTATTAAGTTTTTACACGTGAAGACAAATTCCAGTTTGCACGTAGTGAAAAAATAAATCTTAGTACTCAGTAGTGTAAATATATCGCAAAAATTAAATTAAAAATATATTAATACTTACCTGAAAGGGTATTAAGTTACATATATAATTGCAAGACCATTTGATAAAAGTAGAAATTCTTAATTGAATTTGATAATTTTGTTTCAAAACTTTCTACGATAACTATAAAGATGAAAATAACGATTTGTCACAATAGTTTTAAAAAAAAGTTTGTTAGTAGTAGAGAAAAATTGATACAGGCTTCACACGAAAATCTTTTAAACTCAATGTAAACATTTAATATGACCTCAAAGATTTATTTGCAAAGTTATATTATTTTAAGTACACAGTTAAAATTAATGAGTACATTTGTTCCCAAGTACTATAGTTATTAAGTATAAAATCTTGCTAAATACATATCAATATTATAAAAAAATACATTTAACACATAAAATAAAAACATATTATGTATTATATCTTATAGGTAAATAATTTTTTTGCTGAGAATTTATTTATTTAATATCTCTTATGAACTCTTAAGTACTTAATGAAATTAATATAGGTAAGAGATTTATGCTGTGAACTGAATAACATTAAAAAAATTGTATGAACACTATTTTGTAGTAGGTACTATTATATAATAATAATTATTTAATATTCCTTTTATTTTAATCATTATTGTTGTTAAATCAAACACATTTTTTAAATTGATTTCAAATTACTAAGAAAAATGTACTTTCCGTGAACAAATGAACAAAAGAATAAATGAATGTACATTCATCTGATATTTTTTTCCGTCTCCTGTATTTAATCCGATCCCTAGTATCTTGTTATTTATTTACATAAAAACTTCGAAAACAACTTTTATTAACTATTAATAAAATATTTTTTATCTCAGTACTTACTAGTAATTACTATTAGTAATAATATTAGTACTATAAGTAATAATTACTTATTAGTTATTCCATTCATAATACTTTATTTAGCGTATATTATAACTACTGCTAATTAAATTTAATAACTTTTTCAATGGTCAAATTTTATTTTGAATTGAGTTATAATGTCTGTTTTCATAAGTCATAATAGATTTAGACTTTATGTTTTCATATGTGGATAATGAATAGTGATTATATGAAACAAAATCGTATGACGTCTAGGATAATTTATTATTTATGTTAATTCAGTTAACGTTAAATTATATAGGCAATTTTTATATGACATTCATAAAATACATAAATAAATAGTGAATAACATATTTCCATTTATAATAGAGTTAAAATTTATGTGCAATGAAAGCGTTGTATTTACCTTTTATAGTGCATGTATGTATTCAATGTGTATCAAATTATTTTCAGTGCGATTGTTTTATATTTAAAATAATTATTTACTGATTTTGTTGGTGTTAAAGTGTAACGTTACGTAGGAAATTGTATGTTTCTGTGTTGGGTTAATTCTTTACATGTACAATTTTGATTATAAATTTAAGTATTATTCTGCTTCTTGAAATTGGTTTTCATATAAACTTAATTTTGTTTAAGTGGATTTGAGGTATATATTTCATTCAATTTAGCTAAATCATTAAATTTAATAATAATATATAATATTTATACACAGCTAATTTTTTTATAAGTTGATGACTAACTTTTATATAATTTGCTTTTAATAGTATCATATACTGTATAATGGCTAACTTTTACAAACGGACGTTGGAACAACGATAACGAAGTTATATTCATATATACATAGGTATATGTGCTATATGAGTCATGTATGTTTCTATGTATTAGTGTATATGTAAATAAAAATGTTTATCTGTGTATGTGTGTGTGTGTTTATTTGTATATACATAATATAGGTTGTGCGAAAAGGGACTATCAAAATATCGATTTAAGCGCTCGAGGTTGCAGCAAAGGGGGTGCGAGTACGAGTAACATTCCTCCGCAGTAATATTTGCGTTATGCATATAGTACATCCACATACACATAAACTTACATATATATATATACATATAATAAATTATATGTATATATGCATTGAAATAGATAGAGGGTGAGTGTAAGTGTTTGAGAAGGAGGGTGGAAGAGATAGGTGTGCTAGTCGTTTTCAATTATACCACCAGTCAGATTTATGAAGGTATTATTATTTCTTACCCTCTCCTGGTCGGTACAGCGTAAAGCTGTGGGGGGTGTTGGTGTTGGTGTTTGGTCATTATTTTTCCACCCCGGCCACCATGACCACAATGCACATCGTCTGATAATAGTGTGCCTCAATGGTGGTGCGGTTCTCGTTGCTGCTGGCGCGATGTAACTATATTGCTATAATGTGCAGTCGGTGTATAACTCATGTATAACAAATTCACGCTTCAAGGTACCGTTGGATATTCAGTTGGAGGGTTCTGTATAAAAATGATGTCCCGAGAAAACTTCAGGGGTGCAATAATAAACGTTTTAGATATACTTTGAAACTTTTTAATTTTTAGTGCTGGACATACGTAACACAGCTTTTTTTGTGCTATTTTGGATTTTCAATCAATAAGTTATAATGAATTTATTTATAATAATTTATGATTTAAACGATTTTTTTCAATTATTAGGTTTGTCACCTTATTGATTTATATTTTTTGGTAGTTTGATTTTCCCTACAAAAAAATACATATAGACAAAAGATTATTTGCATTTTTAATACATTTAATTAATTATTTTAATATTTTATCCCTAAATTCCATAAAGATTATTTCAAAAATGTTTAATAAATCTTGAAACATAAAACTTCAAACTCCAAATTTGCGAAGATAACCAACCTGTGGGATGTGTCCTCATAGGGAGGCGTGAAATTATTTAAAATGCAATAAAAAATTAAAACGTTATTTTTGATCATTAATATTTAATCGAGACATTATTAAGTGGAATTAAGCAGTGCTAACCCTCTTAATTTATATCTACTTCATAATAATAAATTTAAAATTGAATATTTAAGAAAGTAAATATAATAGATATAATATAATTTGTTCTTATCATTTTAAATAATAATAATAGCAAATCCTAACAAATAAATTCATTACGTATTCAAAATAAATTCATTAATTTTTATACTCGTATTATCATATTTATCCTATAACTAACAATGAAGGCATGATTAAGATTGCTAAAAATTAGATGTGATAAAACGCTTCATAAAATTACATGTATGGAATATGGTGCAACAACTAATCCTCGAAAGTTTTGAAATTTGTTGTTGGAGAAGAATTTTGCGAGTGAGTTGGATAGTGCCAACGAAAGCATAATTAGCGAAATAAATGAATGCATTATAATGATCTTAAAACAAAGACGATGGGACATGATTGGTCACATATGGTAATGAAGCATAAACACGAACTGATTTATAGAATAATTTAAGAGAAAACTGAAGGTAAGAGAGACCAAGAATGTTCGAACTTTATTTGTCTAGCAAATGATCTCCGATGCTGGACTCTTAAGCTACATGGAACTAAAGCGGTTAGCTGGGAACAGGGAAGAGTGAAGAGTGCGTGTCTGACTGCAAAATCAACTATAAGTTTGAATACAAGAAGAGAAGATGTATATACATATATTAAAAATAATTAAATCTTTTTATAGCGAGGGGGAGGCGTAATATTAGAAAATACTACGAAAGGGGGGCATTTACCTCAAAAGGTTGAGAATCCTTGGGATATAACATATTATTGTTTGCTGATGCGTAACAATTGAATGTTATGGAGCATCAGAATCAATGTTCGCCGATCAACATGATATTCAAATGTTTTATGACGGTGTTTGATTGTGCAACTGCAGTAGTGTTGTGCAAAATGTAAAGTAGGATGGTCCAACCTTTTGTAGCCAATTTACATTTTCATAAAAACAATAAGGGCTGTCGCCGTCGCCGCCACCAAAAAAAAATATTATCCAATAAAACCTGCAGTTAATAATCACCGCCTAATAACGACTATATTAATAACAATAATGACTTCCACGATCTCCCGCCACGAGAAATCGAATTCTCCGTGGCTGCTATAAAAACACGATCCCAAAATACGTACGTAGTGAGCTGAATTTAGTCAAGGTTTTGGACGTTACTCATTGCACGCATACCTACGTTTTATAGTAATAAACATAAAAAGTATACAATCATATAACGATTTTGTTATACTATTATTGTGACTTTTTTTTTTATATATAAGTCTCCTATGGAGGAGTGTCAAAAAAAAAGCTTCGAGGACCGCGGGTTGGACCACCTTGACGTAAAGGCTCGTCTATAACGATATTATCGTGCATAATATAATGTGCGATGTAGCGTACAGGATATGGATAGCGTATAATGTTATGTTGTTTGCGTTTTCGCAGGGAAATTGCCGGTGCTCAACGATTTCATAAAACACTACACGCCAGCGGAGTACGACCAGGATGGTTTGCGGGAACAGCATCGGAGGATGCGCAGGAACGCAGCCGCTCATAGTGTCCGACAACAATTGCCGATACGACTCACCGTCGCCACGCCGCACAGGTCAGTTACATTTTCGTTCTCAACATTTTCTTACTGCACATTATGTGTATAGCGTTGTTCTTCGTCGGTGATATATTATTATTATACTCGTGTAAACTTCGGTTCGGTCGACCACCGCCGTTTATCGTGCAACGAAACCGCACTAGAATGACTTATCGTTTGTCGTCCTTTTTTCAAACCCCTCTCCCCCAATCACCCTCATATATCGGTCCATAGACTAGAGCTTACATTATGGGTGGTTTCATTGTACCAAGAAAACAGCCCCGCACATTCGCACCTCCGTTTTACACTTATCAATAAAATCTGTCGGCCGGAGTTATTTTCTTCCAAAAATGAGATACCGTTTTGCTCCACCGTCTATTTTGCTCCACTTCCATTTTTCTCCAATTATTATAGATGCACTTATTGATTATTTATTTTCCTCCCAATTATCGATCACCATAATATAAATACTTCTCTTCTATTCATTTTTAAATAAAATACTTTTTATGTTTGAACTAATAATTTATAACCACATATGAGAACTTATTTGTATTTAACTTTTTTAAAACAAAACCAATAATAATTTATTATCATATTTGATTTTTATAAATTAAATAATCATTGGATTTATATTATTTTTTATTAATAAAAAAATTGATAAATTCAATTATTTTAATAGTCAGTAAACATTTTATTTATTATTGTTTTATAAATAAAAAATTACAATAAATTATTTTGAAAACTTCATTTTTTTATAATAATTATAAATTATTAATATAAATAATTATATTTATTATTATTATATAATAGTATAATTATTTTTTGGTTGTATGTATGTGCAGTTTAGATTTAATTTCAATAGTTATCTAGTTATATTTTTTTTCTTTTTTTTTAATGCATCAATTGTCTTATCGATTGCTTTACGTTTTTTATTTGTTCGTTAGTCTTTTGAGAATTCTGGAATGTAAAAATATATTTGAAGGAAAATGTTAACTCATTTTTATCATTTTTAGAGGAAAATAGTCTCGCCAAATCTATTACTAGTGTCACTACTCACCATTAAACTTGCTAATAAAGACTTAAATTTTACCTGGACTAGCCCTCATAGTTTCTACAAATGAGTTCGTAATAAAACGTCCCACCTGTATAATTTACATCATTGATATGATATACATTTTAATTCACATTCAAAATACATACTTATAGTTATACATATTTAGTTCTACAATTTTAGTTTTATTTTAATACAAATTAAAAAAACAAAAAAACATTCTAAGTCTCGTTATTTTTCATTTAAGAGTGCTAAGATTCCCTCATATTTACCTTTATGCCCAAGTCTCGGGCCGATATCATTCTGCATGCAATTTGTTTCTTTACGCGAAATAACTCTGCGTGGAAAATAAATAATTATTAGCATAATAGATGTTTTAATTAAGTGTTGTTTCTCTATAATAATTATTTAATTCCCCTGCGTATGTATACGCAATAATCCCGAGTTCTATCCACCAGAACATGCGTGAAGAAATTACGCTGCAACACATTAATATGAACAGATCCACGAATATTTTCCCTGTGTGAAATGTACGTTCACGGTAAATTAAATTGTAACCGAAACCCTCTCACTAAACCCTTACAATCTTCCTGTATAGAAATTGTCGGTACCATTGGTTAGGAAATTAAAAATGAAACATTTGAACATATAGAAACCTAAACAGAAATAATTTATTTTCTGTTGGCTCGATTCGGAGATTAGACTCAACGCTAGAAAACTTCTCACTGAACAGGATAGATGGTTCTCATTTGTGTTGTAAACATTGCAAAGGTATAATCTAGTGCTTGCAGATTCGCAGTATTCAACCATCTGTGTAATTTAACTTTTTTAGACAAAAAAATTGAAATTTAATTGCTGTTACTATATAGATATATTTAAATGTAAATTAAGAAAATTATCATTTAAACTTTATTTCATTTTATCAAATTATTTTTAACCTTTTTAACATGGGATAATTTCATGTTCTTACAATAAAATATTAATTAACATATGATTATAAATTATAATAATGAATACTATAGAAGTATAAATTGTAATTCTTTTTGTAAATGTGAATATGTTTTACTAATAGTATATTAATAGGGTTAGTCATTGTGTATTATATTATAGAAATTATTTCAATTTCGTTTAAAAGTATTTTTTGAATTTTATGTAATCATATGAGTTTTCATTTAAAAAAATCTTGTTGTATGAAAATTTAAGTTCATTCTTTTTTATTACTTATTTAGTTTTTGTAAAATGTTTTTTTTGTAATATTTATTTGTCACGTTTTAAATGTTGTTAAATTTCTAAATATATTTTCGTAATCTTATAATTTTAATATACGAACGAATTCTTTTTATTCAACTCATAAGTCTTAATACTTATTATTTAACTTTTATTTGTTACGACTCTTTAAAAGTTTTTACTGTAAACTATTTAATGCCATAGAAAGTACGATTTAAATAAATTTAGGTTGTCATGTAAAAAACATTTTCATTTTATTGTATTACTTAAATATATTTTTGAAATTTGATAATTATTTTTTATGCGAATATTATCTTATCAACATTTGAGATCATAACTGTGTTTTGATAACTTTGTATTTAATTTAAAATTATAATTAATTATAATTGTTATTTGATCGTAGTTTAATGTCATTATTGAGTATATTATGTTTTAGTAGTTTTATGATAAAATTTAATTATTTTATAATGATTATTTATGAATACATTTTGTTAACTGTATATTTTCAGACCAGCAAATTAGTCTTACGGACTTATTTTCTTAAATTTGATTGAAATAATTATGGTTGTATAGTATGTGAAAATAATTGTACTTGACTTAATCTATTTCTGTAATCTTCGTTGTCACTATTTAGAACGTAGGTTGATTTTGTGTTTATTAATTTGTAAATGAGACATTTAAAGAAGAAAAAAATATTTTTACCTTGAATTTACTTAAAGTTAAAATGTTTTCTCATTAAAACAATATAATATAAATTTTGAATTATTTATAATAAATAAAGCAATAAGACAAAATACTAGAGAACACTAGAGAAAAACCATTCTTCAGAAAAACATGTATAAACGTTTATGATTAAATTATAGTAATATATATATGTTTTTTTTAAAAATATTTTTGAATAGTTTTATATATAAAAATAAAAAATAAAAATGTCATATTGTTGTTCACTTTTTTTCAGTTAATAGTTCATGATCTAGAGTAAGATAAATTATTTTTACTCCGAAAAAAGGATAAAATATAAATACTTGAAGTTTGTTTTTAATTTTAATAGTAAAAATAGTTTTTACGATATAAGTAGAATTATGATTGAAAAAAAAACAACGCTATATTTTCCAAATTTACATATATCCCATAAAATGAAACATTCATTCATTCAGTAGGAAATAAACTTTGCACAAATTTGACTTAATGGATATAATATGACAACTATGATATATTCGTGTAAATATATTATTATGTTTATTGTAGAAACAAAATTATCATCCAAAAAAACCTTTTTTTTTTAACATGAATTATAAAAAGCTTTATCACAAATTATCTAAATTGCTATTCAATTGTAGTTAAAATATTTGTTTTAATTATATATTCGTGTATAGTTGAGTTGTGTATATTTATAATATTGTCAAACAAAATACCGTATTGCAATGAGTAGCAAGTTTTTTTTTTTTTTTTAATATCAAGTTAGTTTTTTAATTCAAATATACTTATTTGTTTTTTAAAATGAAAATGAAATTAATTTGGTTTCTTTATTTTCTAAGTCCATCATAATTTTATTGTAAGTTTGATAGTAAATTAATTATTAAACAATTTTTATTGTATTATTATACATAGGTATAATACGTAGCTTAGTGTTATTATCATATTATACTAAGGTTTGATAATTTAAATAAAACCATTGAACTAGGTATAATTATTTCTACAGATAGTGAGTCATACACGGTTAAAAAATTAGGATGATTTACCTGGTCTATTTGATTTAAAAACGATAATAATACGATAAAAAATATGTTTATATTTTTAAAACTTAAGAAACTGATCTTTAAACGGGAAATTATACACAATTGTTCTCTATATAATATTAAGAATTCCAAATAATCTAACATGAGAAGTATTCATTATGTAAATTAAATCGTCATGTGTTTCTTTAATTATTAATCCAGTGTAAAACAATTCTACCATATGGCATATTTAAATTATATTATTTATCTTAAATACCTACTGTTCTTTACTGAACAGTTACTATACGAGTACAATAAAAAGTCATTGTTTCAAGTAATAATTTCGTTCGTGATTAAACTGTATTTAATTGAACTATTGTTTTATTTACTACACATATATGTATAATGGTCTGGATGTATTTTACTTGGTTGACATGGTTAACACAGAAAAACAGTAAAATACCACGGTCCACCCTGTATGTAGGTTAAAAAGAGACGTAAGAAATATTGCAGTGTAAAAGGAAATAAAAACTTTTAACAATGATTAAGAAAAATAATGTGGACCGTATTTATGTTGTTGTTGTAAGCTATGTATAAATGTAACTTTTACATTATTTATTACAAAATCTTGTATTTATGGCTTTAAATTTGTATAGCGTGTGCAACAATAGTTGAAATTAAAGTTTCATAATATTCTATAATAATAACTCGTGTAGTAATATTGAAAATAAACACATACCTAACGTATAAGTTTGTTTTTTATTTTTCGATTTTCATTTAAAAAAATAAAATAAAAATAAAACCTCATAACACATATATCAATTGTTGTGTGTGAATTCTTGGGCAGGTTCTTATGGGTTAGTATTTATAATATATACATATATATGTGTTAATATTTGTAATGCATAAATATATATGTATATAATTTTTTTTTTTTAATTTGTATGTAATACAAGTGCGAGTTTAGGAGTTCGTTAAGCGTATCGATTTACACGCTGGTTGATATCTATAGATAGGCATAG